AGAGAGAGGAAGTGGGTGTGAGGAGAGACACAAAGGATGGGTGGAGTATCTGCTCAGGCCAACTGCTTGGACAGCGCCCGCGGGAGACAAACGAGGGCAGCGTCTGGGCCTGGAGTCCACCCTGCCTGGGCCTGGACCTGCTCTGCCAGGAGGCTGCGCCCTATCTGATAAGGGTATTGGCCTGTGAGTCAATCACCTGCATCTCAGTCCAACTGTGCCTCAAAGCAAAGTAGTTTGGTAAAGCTAATTTTGTATGGAGGGCATTTTGACAGAACTGAATCAAAATATAAAATCACCAAATAGCTTACATTACCAAATAGCTTATGAAAGACACAGCCAACCCTTCCTTCCTCTCTGATCCTCACTGTACCCCTGACTTTCATTCCAGCATTTTTCTTTACTCCATTCATGATTCCTACCATGTCTCTGACCCCCTTTCCATTGCAGGTCATTCCTGCAACCTAAAGATCAAATGTTTCTTGGTGAGCATAAGTTTAAATATCTAGATGTTAGAACCTAGCAAATCAGGAAACACCTAATGTTAACATACATTAAAAAGGTGGGTATGTTTGGCAAAAAATAATTTGGCATAAAAGAGAAGAATCAGAAGATATGGGATGGTGAGATAAAATTATTAAATTGATCTCTGCCTCAGTATCTCAATAAAATAAGGATACTAATAGTACCTACCTCATAAAACTTGGGAAATATGTGAAATAGTATCTCTAAGACACTTGGCATAATGCTTGTAACAAATAAATTCAGTATTAGCTCTTATTAAATAAGTTGTTTTACATCATTCAGCTCGTAAGTGGGTATCTAGGATTTGATAGTTTCTCTGATTCCAAAGCTCAAATTCTTAAGCACGTGCTCCACTGAATAACTGCCATTTATTAAGCACAGTGCTGCATACTCTACTTTAGTTATTTCATTTAGTCCTATGACATCCCTGAGCTGGGTATTGCCATTTTACCAACAAGGAAATTGAGCATGATTTAACTGACTTGCCCAAGTTCACACGTTGGAATTCATACCCAGGCCTGCCGGGCTCCAGTGCCCCCTCTCCAACAGCACAATGGGAATCAGGAGGCTTGGGTCCCAGTCCCAGATCTGCCACTGATTAACCTGCATCACTGAGCCTCAGTTTGCTCATTTTCTAAATGAAGGGGCTAGATTAGAGAATGAACTCTCTGGTCCCTTTAAGCTCTACTGTTCTGGAAAAGGGGGATTTGATGAAATCAATGTGTATGGTGAGACACGTTTAATGAAATCAGAGTGTTCCAGGTAGGAGGGAGGGGTATGTCTGAGTCAGACAGGATCCCCATCTCCATCTGACTGCACAACATCACCCAACAGAGAGATCCAGAGGCGCCAAGAGACGAGTCCAAGTCTCCCAAGCATTAGTCATCGTCTGCTCCCACTCCCCAGGGGACCAGCAGGATGCTGTTCCAATTAAACTGGATTGATGAGGGACCTCTAGGATGACGAAAGGGCAGGAGAGGAGATGTCAGAGGACACACTGGGGGAGCTGAATCATTCAGCCTGGAGAAGAGAAAGCAAGAAGGGCCAGTCCTCAAGTCTCCAGTGAGCCTGGGGGTTGGGTGGCAGGTGGAAAAGAACACGAGGTTCAACTCAGAGTATCTTGGACCTGGGACCTAGTCCTCGCTCTGCCAGTATGACTTTGTTTGACAAATTACTTTACCTCTCAGGTTTTCAGTTTCCACATCTAAAAAGGTAGGGAAATAACTTTAAAAAAAATACCCTGTAGATTTATACAAAGAAACATACAATATTATAGCTACAAACAACTAGAAATGGCTCAAATACCCTGGCAATGGGGACAACTGCTAAGCAGACCCTAGGGGGTGGGGGTGCGGGGTTGGTGCAACAGAATATTAAAATGCTATCTGGAAATGCTGAATAATAACAAACATTTATTGAGCACTGACTATGTGCTAGGCACTGGGGAGAAGTCCTGACATGCATGACCTCATTTAGTATCCTCCGGCATCTCAAGGCAGGTGTCATGTCCATTCCTCTCAGATGTGTTAGCTGAAGCACTGTGCGGTTTAACAAGTCAGTAAGTGGTAACATCAGGACCCAAACCCAGAGGGCTATCCGACGCGCAAGGCCACTCCCTAACTTTCATGCTCTAATGCCTCAGGATGTGAGGATGATGCAGAGATAGAGAAATGCCTACATGAAACTGTATTAAATGAGGGGGGGAACCCTCAAGAGTGGTTATGTTAATATAAGAAAGTTGGCTCCAACATTAGGTGTGGATGTTTATAAACAGAAAACTTAGGATGACGGGAACTTAGTCATGGCTGCTAATGTTTGGATATTTCTGCTTAATTTGGTAGTAGAGATGATGAAACATATAATACCTGAGTAAAGGGGTGAGTACAAATGATAAGGTGTTTCACGTTCTAATCTGTAATTATTTAGGCAAGCAGAGAAGGACGGTACGGTGCACATCCTCATTACTGAGGAGGGACTGGGAATCTGATCGCATGGCTCTCCTGCTTCAAGCTTTTCAGTTACTTCATGTTGCCCACAACACTGGTTCGCAAACTTGGCTGCATATGGGAATCACCTGAGAAGTTTTTAAAACTGATGTCCAGGTCCACTCCCAGAGATTCTTAACTGATATGGGTATAGCTTTGGCACTGGAAGTTTTATTATCTCCTCTCCTGATTCCAACATGAAGAAACGTTTGAAAACCAGTGGCCTACATGATAAAGGGCTAACTCCTTCACTTAGCATAGGTGGCCTTCTCTGATTTCTTCAGTAAACTCTTCTACACCCTTATTTTTCACTTATCTTCTTCAAACCATTTAGTGTCCTGAAGATGCTATACCCTGCTATTTACATTTCTGTGCCTTTACATGCTATTTTCTCTGCCTTGAAGGCCTTTATTCTCCCTCGTCCATTTGGAAGACTCTGTCTTCAATAACATGGTAGCCAGCCTCCAAGATGTCCCCAGGAATTCCCACTGCCTTGTATTCATGCCCTGTATAGTTCCTTTCCACACTAAGTAAGCCTGACCTGTATAACATGACATTGTGGATATGACGGAGTATGATTTCCAAGAACAGGTCAGAAAAGACATTGCAACTCCATCTTACTCTCTTGGATAACCTGCCAGCTGCCATGTCTTAAGCAGCCCCCCGGAGAGCTCCACATGGTGAGGAACTGAGTCCTCCTCCCAGAAGCCATGTGAATGAGCCAGCTTGGAAGTGGATCCTCCAGTCCCAGTCAAACCTTCAGATGACAGTCATCCCAGCTGACATCTTGATTGCAACCCCATGAGAGATCTTCAGCCAGAACCACCCAGCTAAGCCACTCCAGGATTCCTGAGCCATATGTATGAGATAATGTTTGTTGTTCTAAGCTAAATTTTGGGGTAATTTACAATGCAGCAATAGATAACTATACAAATACAAATATCAAGCTCAAGTACACTTGATACAGTGTGAAGCCTTTTTAGCCGTTCTCTGAAGCTGAACTGGTCACCCAGTGTCACTTCTGGGCCTTATACATCCCATGACAGCATTCATCCGAGGGGGCCTGTTTACTTGCCTTTCTAGCCCTCTAGATCAGTTCCATGAGGACAGGGCTAGCCATAGCACAGGCCTTCAGTGCGTGTAGAATGAATGAGCACACATGGGAGTGGCCATCTGAGTTAATTTACACAGGCCTTCTGGTCCAGGCTCCTTCTCTACACAAAAATACCAAGTATAACCATACTTGAAATCTGGCTGTCATAGTGAGTGGGTCCTGAGCATTTCTTAGTAATCAAACAAAACCTTGGATCCCTGGATGTATCTGAAGCACTAGAATGGAAGTCAGAAGATCTGGATATTAATTCAGGTCTGCCAACCACCTGAACTTCTCTGAGTTTTGGTTTCCTCATAGACCAAAAACTTAAGGACTCTTCCAATTCTAAAGCTGAATGATTCCATATTTTCAGCTAGCCATCACTCTTGTTACAAAAGAGAGAAAACAGGCGAATAGTGTTAAGCCACAGGAAGGGTTCTCAAATTTGGCTGCATATGAGAAATACCCCTAGAGCTTACCACACACACACACACACACACACATGACATTGTGGATATGACAGAGTATGATTTCCAAGAACAGGTCAGAAAAGACATTGCAACTCCATCTTACTCTCTTGGATAACTTGCCAGCTTCCATGTCTTAGGCAGCCCCACGGAGAGCTCCACATGGTGAGGAACTGAGTCCTCCTCACATGTGTGTGTGTGTGTGTGTGTGTGTGTGTGTGTGTGTGTGTGTGTGTGCGCGCGTGCACATGCGCAAACCTGGTCCCCACCCTGTACCTTCTGATCAGCTTGTTTCTTTGGAGACATGGCCAGGAATCTGTATTTTTATAGTTTCAGAGTGATTCTGATGTGCATCTAGAGTTGAGAATCACTAACTGACAATATCTAGGTTAGAGAGTTAAAGAAAAATTTCTGCCAGCTGGTTGGTTCCATGGTTTCTAAAGTACAGCACTAATGGGTTTGTTTCCTGAGTTGTTAACCTTACATAAGGTGGATGGATGTGTGGACAGATGGACAACGGCTCATCTTGACTGCTAGAAAAGCAATTCAAAGTGTACTCTCAGGGCTCAGTTGGGTCTTCAACAAAAATGACTCTTTGGATGACCCAACTGCTTAGGGTATTTACTAGAGATCAATTCATGGGTTATTTTAGCCTAAATAATCACTTTCTTTTTGTGAAATAGGAATGAACAAATTTAAGTATACTTGGAACCCAACACTTCAGGTTCAGATCCTAGCCCCAGCACTTAATTACATGCTGGGTGACCGTGGCTGGGCCAGTAAATCTTTCTGAACCTCCCTTCCCTGATCTGCTGCATGCAGATAACACATACTACATTATCGGAATGCTGCTAGGATTAAATGATACAATGTATGTAAAACACTTAGCACAATATCTGGCACAGAACAAGTGCTCATTAGGTAGTAGGACACTATGGCAAAAACAAAATATGGCACTTTTATTATTAATAGCAACATATATCTGTCCAGAGCTTTGTCAATTACAAAGTGCCCTTAAACATCTTACACTGAAACCCTTCCCTCCCAAATCCTGAGGTGGCCAAGACAGACATTAGTGACTCCATTTTACAGAAAAAGAAAGCCTCAGAACAGTTCACTGGCTCTAGATCAAATGGCAAGAAAGTGTGTCTGGATTCAGACCTGGGTGTGATTCCATGAAAATGAGCGATTATACACGCACACTTGGCAGGCTGAGCATCTAGGGACCATCTGGCTTAGCAGGCTGAGGACTGTGTTTCTGAGCAGCTTTTTTTAGATGAAAGCAAGATGGGAAAAATAAGCTGGCAAACTTCTCTCCTTCATTTTCAACATTGGTGTGATTTGTGCTCAGTTCTGCCCTCCTTTTAACTCTCAAATGCTACATGTCCATGTACCTCAGTTCACTCCAGCTGCCCTTGGCTGCATGGTCGCTGGCTCTGCCCTGGGCCCCACAGCTGGGATCTGGGAAAACCAAAAGAAAAAGCAGCAGGGCAGCTGGAGGCATCAGAGGGCTTGGCGAACAGCAGCTGTTCCCAAGTCTCGCTGGGGAACAAGAAGCCTGCTGATGGGGTAGGGGGCACGATCTCTGATCCCCAGTCCGTCAACAGGAGGATGCTTTTCCTGCCCAACAGATGGGTCCTGCTCCTGGAATAAGAAAGTAATAAAGTGCAATACTAAATATGAGACAGAACATATTTCTCTTGGGGAGTAGGAAGCTAAGAGATCAAATGTGAGTTGAATCTAATCAAGAAGACTTTCACAGAAGAGGTGGAACTAGAAATGGGCCTAAAGTATCACCAGTATTTGAAGACATGGAAAGAAGGTTGGGGAGGCCTTGCAAGCAAGAAAAAATCACAAGAAAGGACATGTGTGTTTATTTGGAGACTAGGTGGACATATTAAGGGGACAGTGGAAGAATGCACAGGTGAGAAGCAGAGGACCTGAGAGGCAGAGCAAGGAACCCAGACAGAATTAAGGGGGAGATGGAATTCTATGGGGAAAAGGGAGTCCTGCAGATTCTTGACAATTCACTGACAGGGACACGAAATGCCCGCACTGAAGGGGTGCTGGGGATCATCCAATTCAACAACCACCACCCCACATCCCAATTTACACATAGGGACGCTGAAGTCATGAGAGAAAAAGCATGCGCACGAGGTCACAGGGTGAGAAGGGAGAGTCAAGACAAGAACCCAGGGCTCAAGACAGGCAGTTTGGTCCTTATTCCATTAGACCAGGCTGGTATTTTCATACAAAAGTAGTGTTTTAGGCAGATCTGGCAGCAGAATACAGGGGAAAAGAGAGATTAGAGTTCAGGAAACTGTGAAAATCAGTCCAGGGGTGAGCTGATGGAGGGATTAGACTCCAACAAAACTGAACGGATGGGCTTGGCATGAGAACCAGGAGGGAAGAAACAAGAGGACTTGGTAGGAAACAAGACAGGCAGTGAGGGAGAGCTGCGCAGAGGTAATTCACAGGCTGTTCTCAAGCCTGGGGAGTTTCTCCCGAGGTGGCCACGGGGCAGTCTATCCCCCTTACCCATGCCTCAAAGGCAGCAAACGTGAATACAAGCCTCTACCACAAACCCCGCATCCCCACGGCCTCTTCCCTTTGCCAGCCTCATCACAGACCTTCTCCTCTGATTTTCCCATTCAGTTTCAGGACCTTTGGTTTATATCTGGCACACAGATTTCTGTTTGGATGATCAGGTGTGAAATTAAAAACCAAACCAGAACCTGAGTGTAAACTCTTCCTTGTGCTGAAGAGTCTGCAAAGCTAGAACAATGGTTTGGACTTTGATTTCTGATGTGAGAAGGGAGACAGAGAATGGACTGTCTCTCAGCAAACTCACACAGTGGTAGCGGTTGGGTGCTTGGTAGATTTCATGTGAGGGAGGTAAGTCTGAAACTAGAGAAGATGGAAAGAGAACTCAGACCAAGACCATCCTGGTCCATTCAGCAAAGGGCAAATTAGACCTGACCGTATAGGTGTGTAAGGAGGACCAAACAAAACAACAGTAGTAACAGCTAATATTCATTAAACCCTTACTATAGACCCTGTGCTACGGGCTTTATGTGCATTATTTCATTTTATCTCTTAAAAGGTAAATACTATTAGGATTCCCATTTTGCCAAAAAACAACTGAAGCTCATAGAATAAATCGGCATAAAGTCATAGGGCTAACAGTTTTGTAGCTGACTTCAAAGACCATGTTCTTTATCCTTGAACTGCTTTCCTCAGGTACGAAACCAACAGTGCATGTGACCCGCAGTCCTCAGTGAAGCTTGGCTCTCTCCCCCAACCCATTTCTTAAGAATGTTGAGGATCTCACTGAATTTCAATACAAATCATATAGAAATTGCTAGAAACTTCAACATTCTTGATTCAATCGACCATGAAATTACATTCCTCATATTCTGACAATTTAAAGAGACAGGGGAAGGTACAAAACCAAATAAGTATATTGGCAGTATGGTCCTGTGATTAAAAGCATGGGTTTTGATGACTAAACCCCAGCTTTGCCAAATTCTTGCTGTTGAGAGCTCAATCACATCATTTCTCTACATGCTGCTTGCTCATATATAAAACGAGGCTAATACCACTGGACCTTATGGGGTTGCTATGAGAAGCAAATGAGATGATGCATGTAAAGCCCTCAGAGTGGTCCATGACACACTGCAAGTGCCCAGTAAATGCTGGCTATTATGTTATCATCCTCATTGTCATATTGCCACACGGCTATGGCCTCTATAGCTGGCTGTTGATGGGACAGAAAGTGAGTTTCCTAATGACAGTAGGTCCAGAGTAGAGTATGGCCTCTCTTGTTCCTCTGTCACTTTGCATGCCCAGGGGTAAGTGGTGTCCCAGAAGAAAAAGGGAGCAGATATAGGTCCCCACAAGGGCAAGACATGGAGTTGCAGTCCATCACCTGACATTTTGAATCCAGCAGTCTTGACAAGGGGTAAGTGCACAGCTGTGTCAGGACACATACCAGAAAAGGACTTGAGGGCTGTGCTGGGGGCATAACAAGAACCCAACCAGTCTCAGCCTGACAGATTCAGGAAGCGGGAGGGATGCGGAATAGCATTCCATTCTGTATTTACTTGCTTTCCTTCCTAACCGGCTCACCACCTCATGCATGGAAACTTCACACTACAGCACTTATGAGGCCTCCATGGCATAGGATGGGGAACAAGAAGATGCAAAAGAAACCCAAGATGTCTCCTTTACTTCTGGAAAGGACCTGCCAGAATACAATTCATCAGCAAATGATAATTAATATGGAGGATTATCTTGCTTATCTAAAGACCACTTGACTAGTGTCCTTTGAGTCCCTGGGAGCAAACCAAAAATGAGGACAGTGGACCTTGTGATACTACTTCTGAGCAGTCAAAGGACCACAAAGTCCAAGCACTAAAAGCAGTGCATTTTAGCTGCAGGAGAGCCCCGAAGGAGCTCTCTCGGTGGCTACCAAGCTTTACTTTAGACAATTGTAAATAATGTGGCTGATCGGAAGTCACAAATCTGAAGTGAACAGGGAGGGTTGCTAGAGGCTGGCACATTAAAAGCAATGGAGTGATGGCTGGCAGCCTGACCACAAGGGAGACAACACAAATGATGGAAAGCAATCAAAAGAGCTAAGGGGACAGCTGCTGGGAGCCACGTAGTGTAGGAGCCACCAGCTATCCACACTTTCATAGGCCAGAGGGCAACACTGCTCTGACGTCAGACCTGGACAGAGATATTTCTGGTCTTCTGGCATGGTATGTATGTTATGTATGGATCTTGGCCAGATGTCTTTCTTTGGCCAATGAGATGTGAATGGAAATGAGCGTCACTTCTGGGTAGAAGCTTTAAGAGCCAGAGGGTGCTTCACCACCCTCTTCTAGCTCTACCAGGGCAACTGGCAGCACCACCACCCTGGGTCCCCAAGTAAGGATAGAAATGACAGCAGAGCCTCCAGCTGACCCACAGAGGACAAGAACATGGGCAAGAAATAAACTTCTGTTGCTTTTTGGGTTGCTTGTTATTAACATATAATCTGGTTTATCTTGACAGAAACATCTTAAAAAGTTACATGAGGTCAGTTCCCACTAAGAAGTATGTGCGTTACCTTTCTGGTAAATTGCCTATCAAAGGAGTCAATATATTTTGTGGCTTAAAGGATAACTTTCAATTATATGAGAAATTCACCTACTCCAATGGTGCTGGATAAGTGAGTTATTACTAGAAAGTGAACTGAATGGAGAAGATGGATCCAGTTTCCAAACTTCTTTCTCTGGGGAGACTCCAGGTCTTTACAAAATATACCTGCATGGCTTCTGTGTCCAAGGCAAAGGCTGGGTCTCCTGTGCTACTGCTGCCAGAACTGGCCCCTCAGCATCTTTAGAACAAGCCCTGGGCACATGGGGTGGCATCTCCGGGTTCTGTGTTGCAGGCTTTGGTCCCCAGTCGGGGGTCAGCAGTCCCTGTCACACATTTGTATGCACTCCCTTAGAAGGAAATCTGTAATGTGTTGTTGAGTAAAAGGGCAAGCCAACAACTCAGAACAAAAAGTCTTTAAAGCTCATATGGAACATTTACAAAACTGATTTCACACAGGGCCAAAATGCAAGTTTCAACAAACTTGAAGGATGGAAACCACATAGGTCATTTTCTCTGACCGCAAAGCAATTAAGCTAGAAAACAATAGCTATAAGATAACTAGAAACATCTCATATGCTTGGAAAGTAGGAAACATACTGTTAAATAACTCATGGGTTATATATACATCCTTACACTTAATCCTCCTAACTATTCGTAATGCAGATCTTCATTTTAGAAATGCAGGAGCCGAGAACCGAGAATGAAAAGAGAATATAATTTGCTCAGATTTACCCAAATAGTGGTAGAGCCAGGGGCCAGAACCAGGCTATGGAACTCCAGAACCCAGGGCTTTATTCATCTTCTCCTTATGCTATATCTCACTGGAATTCATAGATCCTCCCAAGGTCCACGGCCTCAGTGGATCTGATGCTTCACCTCTTAGAAAGAATAGCTGTTGAGACATGGGAGACATAGTCCCAGCTTGCTTTGGTGGTACTGACCTTGGACCTACTGTGTAGAGACACATTTCCCTGTGCTCTTGCCTTGTCTGGGGTCCCCTACTTGTGCTGAGGTGTTAAGCCCAGAGTAGTGGGGAGGGGCATTTGAGGTTGATGTTCCCAGAGAGCTTTGAACAAGACCCCTAGAAGACTTCCTTTCCTTTTATCCACATGGGCACAAGTGGTAAGTGAACAAAGACAGAAGGAAAAGCTACTTCCAGATGGCTCCCCATCTTGCTCTAATGCAGATTAAGTAGAGAGAATACTCCAACATAGCACTGGGCACAAATGAGTATTAATATCGCTCATGTTATAAATGGAACAGAATGGAAATTCAGTCTGTATCTTGACTTAAATTTGAGGCTAGGGCCTCAGAGCCAGAAAACAGACAACTATAGCACCCTGATTCTGAGCAAGTTGGACACTTACGGTATCTGAGGTAAGAGGTAAGACCACAGGGTCTCTGGCCCTCTCTAGGGGGCAGCCTCCTGAGTTCTTACCAACCAAACACGTGGCAAGGCCTCCTGCAGCAAGGGCTGTTCAAATGGCTACTTAACACTGTCATTCCAATTTCTCCATCAGCCTACTTGCACTGTTTCCTGTCAAGATACATTCTTGGTAAAACTCCCAAGATACCGAGAGCTTCCGAGGTACCTCTCTGCACCTCAACCTCTCTCCCGGTGCTATGAGGACAATGCTGCCTGCCCCGCTCCATGGGCTCACAAGTATAAGTTAGTCCTAAGTGCCCAGGATTATGTTTCAGGCAATGAGAAGGCCTGAAAATAAACAGAAAATCTAATGGTGATCCATATTCTAGGAAGTTATCTAAAGTGCTGGAACTCACCATGGGGCCCTGGGGAGGGAGAAGGCTGAGCGGTAGGAAGAGAGAGTGCCAGGCTGGGCAAGAGGTCCGGAAGGTGGGAACTGTCACTCCATCCTTTGGTTTCATTTGTTCTACTACAGAAGAAATGAACCTCCCCGGGCCCAAGGTGAGAAAGTAGGCTCACTGGGTTAGCAGTGCTCATGGTGCTCAGCACGGGGCTTGGGTGCCCCCAGCCTCACCCCACTGCTTGTTCCCCACATTATCAGGGCTCAGTTCCCAGAAAGTCAGTGTGTCAATCAGAAAGTGATCCAAGTCCCAACATGAGTTTAAGATCAAGTCCCAGATCAAATGAGCAGTGTGATTATATCCTTTCCATCTATGAAGAAGGGTCATGTCGACCACTTCCTGAGAGGAGGCTCTGTGTGTCCCTGGGCAGGTCCCAAATGGGAACTCAGCTCAGTGACCTTTCACCAATGGCCAGTTAGGCCTACAGGCTGGATAGATGGTGTGGGGCCCCTGGGATGAGCGATGGTCCAATGCCTTCAATGAGGTTGTTCCACTGGTCATAGTCCTCTTTCAGGTCTGAATGGGAGAAAAACAGGAAGTTTAGGTAAATCATGGTAAGGTTAGATCAAAGAGTAGCTACCATGGATATAGTGCATCACCCTAGAGAGAGAAGCTCCTGGGATACTAAAAGGACTGGTTATGGTGGCTGCAATGGAGGTAGCAGCAATGACAACTACTGGTAATTCAGTGTCTTTATAACTGTGCTTCAGAAGTGATTTGCATAACAACTCAATGATACCAACAGGAGGTAGCACTCATTGAGGATAATTCATTCTCAGGACTATGCTGAACATGCATTGCTTCATTTAATTTTCACAATATCCCTGCAAGCTAAGTACTGCATTAGCTCTATTTTATAGTTGAGGAAACTGAGGCTCAGAGAAGCTACCTGATTCGCCCAAGGTCATTACAACTGATAAGGGGCAGAGACAGAATTCAAACCCTGGTCCGAAAAGGTGAGAAAATGGAAAGTCCACTTCCAAACTCTGGGAAGCTGCTGAGCAGGAAGATCCTTCACAAGCCAGTCAACGGACGCACATCCAGCGCCACTGCAGGGAAAGGCAGGAGGATAGGGCAGCAATATCATGAAGTAGTATGACAGCAGGTATGGTTCAAACAAGGGCCCTGGGGCTACAGGCAGACAGGTCTAACGAACGAGTAGAAAGGGCTCAAGACCTCAGGCTGAGGGAGCAGGGCACGGCTGAGCAGCAAATGATGTTTTTGCTCAAATCAAACAGAACCTGGGACAGAAGGCAGAGACCACTGTCCTTCACCTCTGGATCCTCAGTGCCCTACCAGGAACCTGGCCTGGAATAACGAGCGAGTGGTCAACACGTAAGCGCTGCATACTCATGAATTCAAAAAATAGTGAGCATGCTTCACAATGTGCCACAGCCTGTTCTTGGTGCTAAAATTACACCCGCACGCAAATAGAAACCTCATTCTTATACAGCTCACATCTAGTAAGCAGAGGTAACAATAAACATAAATTAGATAGGATGTGAAAAGGTGGTGAGTGCAATGGGAAAAAATGGAGCCAGTTAAGAGAAGCCCAGGGACAAGAGTGAAGGGAGGAAGGGAGAGTGTGATGTTTTAAAAGGGGTAGTCAGCACGGGTCTCACTGGGAAGGTGAGATTCGAGCAAGCACTTCAAGGAGGTGGGAGTGAGCTACGGGACTATGTGGAAAGAATGTTCCAGGCAGACAGGACAGCAGTGCAAAGGTCCTGAAGCACATGTGTCCCTGGAGCACTGGAGGCTGGTGCAGTGCCACATGTAGTAGGCCGGGGGAAGAGTGGCCAGAGAGGAGGTCAGGAAGGACTGGAGGGCTGCTCCACACAGGCCCAGCAGGACATAGGACACCGGCTTTGACTCTCAGAGAAACAGGGAGCCACGGGACAATTCTGAACAGAGGAGTGACAAGATCTGACTTACTTTCTGAAAGGATCACTCTGGCTGCCTGATTAAGGAGACTGAAGGGAGGCAGGGTTGGAAGTAGGGAGGCCAGTTAGGAAACTGACATTAATTGGGTGAGAGGTGACCTCCAAAGGATGCTTGTTGTGGGGGGGTGATTATAAGTGATTAGATTCCATATGCATTTTGAAAGCAGAGCCAAGGGGATTTTATGAGGGACTGGTTGGGAGGCATAAAAGAAGAGACAAGAATGAAGACACTGGCTTGAGTAGCTAGAAGGATGGAGTCACTACTAATTAAAGAGAAACACGGCAGTGGAAATCGGTTTTTGCTGGTGGCACCTATCGGACGTTCACACAGAAATGTTGAGTAGTGGGTATATTAATGTGATGTTCATGGGAGAGATCAAACTGGAGATATAAACTGGGGCATTGTCAGCACGGAGTTGGCTCTTACAATGAGGCTAGATGTCATGAGGGGTGCAGACAGGGAAGGAGCCCGGGCACTGAGCTCCACGAGCAGCCAAGCAGACTGAGAGGTGCAGGTATTGACAGGAGAGCTCTGCAGCCAGTGCCTTGGAAGCAGACAGGGTTTCACAGAGGAAGCTATCACCGACTCTGCCAGAAGCTGCTGACAGCTCCAGGGAGATGAGGAGTGAGAACTGACCACTGCATTTACGACTGTGAAGGTCACTGGCAACCTTGACCAAAGCAGTTTTCAAGGAGGACTGGGATGCAAAAGCCTGACTGGAGTGAATGTAACAGCGAGTGGGGCGAGATGACTCAGAGAGGGGAAGGTAGACATCCTTTTGAGGAGTTTTATTGTTATGAGGAACAGGGAAACAGGGCACAAACTGGACGGGAAAGTGGGGTCAAGAGAGATTTTTTTAGAAGAGAAATTTCAGCAAGAAATGAACCAGTAGAGAGGGGAAAATTGATGATCCAAGGGAAAGAGGAGAAATTGCTGGCACAGTCATCTCCAGCAGCCAAAACGATGAAACCTGGTACACAGGTGGAGGGGTTGGCCTTGGTTAGGCATCTGAGTTGGAAATTCCAGGAATGAGCCAGAAAGTGGAGGATGTGCACACAGGTGGGTGCTGACGGCTTCTGCTGCCTCGGTGAAGGGGGAGGCAAAGTCAAGCAGCTGAGAGACAGGATTGGGGAGGAGGGGTTAGAGGTTTGAAGAGAAAGGAGAAGGTGTGAAATAGTCTTCCAGGAGAGCGGAAGAGAAGAAGAATAGGGAGAAACAAGAGCTGCACGAAGTTAATGTGAAAGAAGAGCCCATCTTTCTAATGGAAGAGGACACCTCTGCATCAGCAGCAGACGTTCTCTCAGAGGTATTTTTTAGGAGTGAGGATACAGTCAGCTGAGCCATTACAACCTATTTAGTCTCCTGTGACAATACAGTATGTGGCCACCAAAAAGCTTTTTCTCTCTTTGGAAAGCTAACTACCCTGAGCAAAGAGTCTTTGCCTTTTGTCAGGCTCTGTCTGATCTCTTATCACCTGAATACCACAAGGGCCTCCTAACTCAACTCTCTGCCTCTGAAATTGCCCCGGCTCACCCATCCTCCATGGTGCAGCCAGACTGCAACCACCAGCTTAATCCTCACATTCTCCTGCTTAGACCCACCGAGGACTCTGATAGCCTGTGGATAAAATTCAAACTTATAGGTCTCTAGACCTGGCTTCCATCTACTTCTCTACCTCTATCTTCCAACAATTCACTATCCTGAGCTCCAGATACACTAAACACAGATTCTCAAAACTGATCAGACCCACACAAGACTTTGTGCCTTCTGTTCAGACCCTTGCCCCTTCTCTAGTAAACCCTCCTCCTCTGTTATAATGAACACAAGCATTGCTCTGTCTCAGGAGCCTCCTTTCCTGGCTGTCCTTCCCCCTTCAGTGAGGTGCCTGTCCTCTGTGCCTCCCAAACACTGAGTGCGTACCTTGGTTATCAGAGTCACTGGCAGAATAGTGCAGCCTTAAGCACATGGGCTTTGGAATCAGACAGCCTAGGTGGCATTCTGGCTTTGCCACTTAATAACCAGATATTCCTGGACAAATTACTTAAATTTTTAGTATCTTCATCCATAAAATGGAGTTCATAATAAAAGTACCCAGTGAAGGGCCATCTTCAGGATTATACGTGATAATGTATCTAAAATACTTAGCATAAGTCCTGGCATAAAGCAAGCCTCCACATTCTTCCTACAGTCTAAAGCTCTTCTACCTTCCATCACCTCTTCTCTGGTCTCCAGTAGTGAGTATCTGAGCTCTACAAATGTTGTTACATACAAGGGGAGCCCAGTCATGTCATGGTGGGCCCCCATCACCTTTAGCTTGTACGCTAATGATATGGCGCCTAAGAGGAAACAGGAAAAGTGGGCTGAGCACCAAGCAGTCAGGCCTCATTAAAGTCTTGAGATATGGATTCATTGCTTTCCTACCAAGTGATAATTATGATGCTCTAGGGTCTCTATTAACCCCAAGTCTCTAAACCCAGGCTGGCAATAATGGCTCATGATGAACAAGATGAAATGAACAGGCATACATACAGAAATGCAAATTTAGGCCCAAAAAAGTCAATATATTTGTAAAAGGACAGATACACTATAGAAGCAAACTCAATCCAACCCACATTTGTTAGACACTAACAAATATTTAATTGCAGGAAATGTTTAAAGTACTCCCCATCCAGCCAGAAGCCTAGTGTCCAGACCACAGAGGTGACAGTCCTGCTGTATCAGGCACTGTTCAGATAATATCCATGTTCACATCAAGGTACCAAACATTAAAAGGTACACTAACAAACAGTGCCCCCAAAGGGGATAATGAATGGCAACATGGGCAGCTATATGGAGAACAGGTGGAGGAACCACGGACATTTAGCTTAATGAACAGAAACTCAGATAGTACACTACCAGTGACTTCAGATATCTAGAGCTGCCATGGACAGGCTTCTCTGGGAAGCTCTTGAGGGGATAACCAGGGCAAGTGGGGAGGAATCACAAAGGATTGGATCTTGGTCTTATGTTAGTTAGATCAAACCTTAGAAATCCAGGCTATCACGGCTCCCTTCTGAAGGAAACTGCCCCATGCACATCCCTGCTGAAGGACTGGCCTTGTGCAGGCACAGATACCTACTCTGTTCTGAGCAAGAGCTCTGGGCCTAGGTTAGGCAGTGGCCTCCAAAGTACTTTGGCAGGTAAGGACCAACTGGTACAATGAAGTTGTCTCTCTTGGGAATCTGGTCTAAGACATCCAAGAAAATATGATGGTGAGCAGTGGGGGATGAAGAAGGAAGGCTGCCACATGGTAGAGAGAACAAGCCATGAGTGGTTCCAACCAACTGAGGTTGTAAGGAAGCAGAAACGAAGAATAAGCGGCTGCTATCTGCAAGCAAAAAAACAAAGAAGAAAAAAGAAAAATGCAGACTGTAGCAAGGAGAAACAGAGATGTCATGAGAGAAAGAGACACAGAGAGAAGCTGGGCCTGAAGCTACCTTGGTTCCTACAATGCTTCACTTCCCCCCTAACCAGGTATACTTTCATGAACAATTTCCCTTTTTACTCAAGGTAAATTAGTCAATTTCTAGTCCTTGTAACCAACTAAAGCCTCGTTAGAATATCAACTATTAAAACCACTAAAGCTGCGGGGCTGGAGAGGGCTGCCCCTCACAGCAGTGCACTCTCCACACTGCCTGACCACGAGGCAGGGAAGACACGAGAGGCGGTTCCTCAGGTGGGAGGCCAAAGCTCTTTACAGGCCATGCCATTTAGCTGGTCTGTGATTCATGACATCAGTCACGATCCTCCCATGCTTTGTTTTTTAAAAGCATGTCCATAATTTAGCCACAATTTCCAAATATTCCCATTTATCATTAAGATATCCCCCATATGCCAACAAGGTGAGTGATTATGAGTACGGACAGAGGTGATAGAGTAGAGAGAGATGAATGTTCCATTTACACTGAGGAAACCAAGGCTCAGAGAAGTTAAATGACTAGGCCAAGGTCACTCAGAGACAGAGTCGGGGTCTTTAAACTTCCAGCTAAGTGTTCTTTCTTTTTTTTCCAGCTAAGTGTTCTCTAATTCTATGTAACTCTCTCCTTCACTCAGGTTTTCCTTTTGCCATAAATCTGCTTGATCCAAGACATATCAGTACAGATGACTGTGCACAGAAATCTAAGAGACCCCACAGCTGCTCTACAAGCTCCGGTTCTCTCCTTACCAAGGTGCTTCTGTAGGAAGGCCAACATGGCCCGCACCACAGTCTCCTGACCTTCATAGGGGTCCAAGCTCCCACGGTTTTGAGTAGAGAAGAATTTACCAATCCAGTTACTAGCCACAAATGCCAAGTCAGTTTGACTCCGATGAACAGAACCACTAGAGGAAAAGAAAAACAAATAACAGGTAGGGATCTGGAGGTTCAGGGGCACAAACATTTGTTAAGCACCTACCCTGTGCAAGGTGCTTTATGTGAGTTACCTCACTTAATCTTGTAAGCAAAGTATTTTTCAGAGGAAAGAAATGATCTCCCCAAGGTCACACAGCTAGTAAGGGACAGTTAGGATTTGAATGCAGGTGAGCCTTCAAAGCTGCCTCAGCCCCTAGACCACAATGCCTGACAACACAGGGAACAGGCTGAGCTAACTGGAGGTGGGGCAGGAGCAAGGAGGCGAGGTCTGCCGCACTGCCGCTCCTGTGTCATTATAAACTATTGCACCATGGCTTTCACCCAGCGACTTCCAGACAGACATAAGCTCCTTCTTCAGAACTGTATCACAGAGGAAGCAGGAAAAAGGAATTACCTGCCTTTATTTACAGAATCTGAAAAGTAAGCCAGAGGTAGTAAGAGGATTTCTGGATTAGAATTCAAGTTCTTTGACATCAAATACATTTAATTCAAAAGCAAAATTCTCACTAGAATCATTTTGGGCTAAATTACCCATGACTAAATTTACTAGTCAATTCAATGAGGGAAGGAAAATCCAAATGCTAAGCTTTGTTTGATATCATACAGAAAAACTGACCTAAAAATATATATTATTTAAGGCACGCAAAAAAGTGTAAAGAATAATATAATGGATCTTGAGTATCCAACAGCACTCAGCTCAAGACATAACTCACTGCCCATGGTTAAATCCCCACTGTACACCCCTCCCAGCTGCTCTCACCTCCCTTCCCTCCAGAGGTCACAATCATCCTGAATCTGACTTGCTTGGGAACATTTTCAAAGTGTCTTCTACTGCCAAGAAATCAAAAGGAAAGGGGAGGGGCTGGCCCTGAGGAAGAGAGCCTGGGCCAAAAGGGCCAAGAGAAGAAGCAACTGACAACCAGTCTATCCCGGCATTCCAGGGCTTTGCACTTAGCCCTTCATCCACCTGAGGGATTCCAAAAGTCCATGACGTATAGTCACTTGTCATTATTTTGAAACAGGACCTGGGATCTTGAAGCATATGTGCTTGGGCTCAAGTTGGGCCCCTGCAAGGCAGGAGAAAGGCAGAGACTTGTCAGTGAGTCTCCATCCCTGCACCAGTAGCTCTAAGCCACTTCTTTTGTACAGTACATTTCTTAAAGGCACCCATAAATGTTCTCTCTGTGAAAAATGGCTCCTGAAGGACAACCATCTGATAGTACTCATGGTGGAAATGAGAAGAATGTGGGTTCTCTTAGGCAGAATATAGCTGGTTTATGGAAGACATCAAATTTAGGTATTTATGAATATCTCTAAAAATCGATCTTGTGAATGTCAAAGGTCTATAACTGTACTCTTCAAAAGACCCAGTAAAATTCCCCAGGGAGGTTAGAGATCTCTGGGGTCTACCCAGACTCACACCTCTTCTTCTCTAACACACGATCCCACAATGTCCTTTTTCCAGAAAGCAACAGGTAAATCCTGTCATAAAGTCATTAACTAGTGAAGAAATCACAGTAGGTGGAGCTAAGCGGAGAAGGACAGCTATGAAATTCTAAAGGAATTAAGATTTTGAAATTCAGAAGTATTCAGGTATTCTACTAATGGATAGGACTTCTGGGTGATTCAGAGGAAATTAAGAGGGTCACAGCTGAGGAGAAAATGGGGAAGACACTAGGGATCATGACCTTAGGTTTACTCACAGGACAGTTATGATCCTAGATTGTTCATGATGGGCACATGTCTTCTTCATCAGGTTGACGCTCTCCACTGTCTGGAATTTCTCAGCATTGATGAAGAATATAGGGCCTCGGGCCTTGGGGTAAAAGTCACGTTCCAGAGGAAACATCCAAGCGTCCAGAGCCACAGCACACCTGGAACAGGACCAGACTCTTGAAACGGCCATGCCGAGCCCCAGGCAAGAACAGGCCTGGGGTGTAGGAGGGGCCCAAATTCCTCCCCCTAGAGGTGTGAAGGCTCGGAAAGCCAGGAAGGGGTCCCAGGGCCCACACTGCTCAGTTAGGATCTTGGAGAGGTCATTTTTACTTGTCTCCAAAGATCCTTCTAGATGTTGATTTTGCTGAGAGCAAGAATAAGACCTTCCTCTTCTAGATCTACTCTCAGGCAGCTGACATGAGTCAGACAGAATGGCACTTCCTTCATTTACTCATTCATCCAGTCAACATTCAGAGAGGACCTACTGTGTGCTTAGCCCTGCACTGTGGATACAGAGATAGGTGGTACTATTCTTGCTGTCAAGGAGCTCCTAGTCTGAAGGGGAGACAGAACAGACAAGACAACAAAACACAGCTTAGTGCTCTGGTTGCACAAGTTGCTGCGTAAGCCCACAGCTTACAGGGCAGGGGAGGTCAGAAAAAGCCTCTTTGATGCCACAACTCAGAGACATGGCCAGTTTGGCAAGCAGTAACCTCTGTCACCAGGGGCAAAACTAAGGTGCTAAGAATAGTGGTCGACCCACCCACCCCCACCTCTGCCCAGTGCTGCTCCAGTTTTCTCCAGCTCAGTAAAGGATAATCATCTTCTACATTGATTTCTTTTTCCTCCACTTCACACATCACTGTCTTGAAAATTCTAAAACCTACCCTGACTCTGTTCCCTTCCCTCCATCCCAATGCAAATCCATCATCTCTCACCTTGACTCTGAAATAGCCTCCCTCTAACTAGCCTCCCTTCAGCTTTGTCCTGCTATGATCCACTCTTCCCACAGTAGTGAGAGGGATCTTTTAAAATGTAAATAAGATTTTTTCTTTGCTTAAAATCCTTCCATGGTTTCCCATGATACTTAGAATAAAATCTGACTTCCTTATTCTGGCCGAAAGGTCCTGTGATGTGGTCTCTATTTATTTCAAATCATATCCTGAACCACTTCCCCTTCACCCACCATCTCCCACACTGACGTAGCAAGCTTATTTCTGCTTCAGGGCCTTTGCATTAGCTGTTCACTCCACCTAGGAAGATCTCCTAGACCTCTAGATGGCTGGCTTCTTTGCCTTTCCAGTCTTGGCTTATGTCACTTTCTCAAAGAAGCCTTGAGTTATTCTAGCACATCAGCCTATTTTATTTTCCTCATTGCACTTGGGTGTTGAGGATTTGATTTTTTGTTAGCTTTACTAGTCTGTCTCCTCCCACAATCACACATTCATGAAATCCACAGACCTTGTGTTCTTATTCACCATTGAATCCTCGGCCCCCCAAACAGTGCCCAGGACATAATACCTGTGTAACAAACACTTGCTGAATTAATGAATGGTGTGAGGCACTCATGGTAGCATTGCTGGGAAACTCACCGAAACTGGGTCTCCTTGGCCAAAGCCAGGATAGCTGTGGCCCCTCCAAATGAATGTCCCATCACAGCCACTTGGCTCATGTTGATGCTGCCCTAAGGAAAGAGAACATAGACAAATTTGCATTTTTAGGAGTTCTTCACTGGCAAGAGGCAGAAAGTGAGAAAGATGCAGAAGCACAATGCAGTGGGTGAGGGCCCCACTCCACACACATGAAGAATCTCTTACACCTTTATGTTTATTGCAGCACTGTTTGCAATAGCCAAGATATGAAAGAAAGCAACCTAAGTGCCCATCAATAGATAAATGGGTAAAGAAGATGTGGTACATATACACAATGGAATATTATTCAGCCATAAAAAGAAAAGAAATCCTGCCATTTGCAACAAAATGGATGGATCTACAGGGTATTATGCTCAGTGAAATAAGCCAGGCAGAGAAAGACAAATACCATACGAATTCACTTATTTGTGGAATATAAAAACAAAGCAAAACAGAAGGAATAAAATAGCATTAAACTCTAAGACACTGAGAAGTGACTAGTGGTTTACCAAGGGGTAGGGGAGTGGGCGGGGGGGAAGGGAGACTGTTAACCACTGTGATGTACATTTGGTAATAAAAAATAATAATTAAAAAGGAAAAGAATCTCTTGCCCATGGAGAGCAGCTAGTCAGGCCATTCCTGGACCCAATAGCCTTTTGTAGGCAGGAATTCTGAAAACCATGTTTTTCATCTTAGTTTTTGTAATCTTACCTCCTGGACTAGGGTAGACATTTAAATATATGTGAATAAATGATTGGATAGAAACTGTGATTCCACACTGACCCATCAGTATAAGAATGCTCTCCATCCTCACAGCCAGTTCACCAGGATGATACATGTACCTAGTCAAGGACAGGATTGGGGAGGCTCCTGCTGCCCCTCCACTTTGTTCTGAAACAAGGCCTGCTTGTACAGAAACCATCTCCTGGATACCTGTGCTGACTTTTATTCAGCAGACAGTTGGCTTGCTCTGCCATGTTCTGCAAGTACCTATTTCTGGTTGTCCCCAGAAGCCTCCAGGGCATGGCTATATAAAAAGCCTGCTTAGGGCTTGAGAAAACTCTCTCAGCTTTACTGCCCAGCCTCTGCCCTGAACCTGCACTCTCCCCAATTTCTATCCCAAGGCTTTGTATCTAAATTGTCCCCCTTTGCTCAGCATCTTCAATTCAACAACTTGGTTGTTGCCCTCTTTAGCTTTTTCAGTAGATTAATACACTCATGTAACTAAAATCAGGAGGACACAGGGAAGTCTCCCACCTACCACATTCCCTTTCCACAGAGTTGCCCAATGTTTACCCTCAAACAGGCAAGTTTCTTATGTGTCTCTGCAGAGCTTACCTACATATACACAGGTAAACATGAATACAAGCCTCCCCCTTTTTCACACAAGTGACATGCATCTTATCTTTTGCATAATAATATGAGTAGAGGAAGAGCTTCCTTATCCTATTTTACAACTACATTTGATTCCACTACAGTAAAGCTAGATAACGACCAAATATGTTCCCCTTCCTCCTCAACACAGGGCTAGACTCTATTTCCCAGCAGTTAGATGTGGCCTTGTGACTGAATTCCAGCCAACAGAATGTGAGTGGAAGTGTTATCTCCACTTCCAGGCCTGGTCGATAAAAACTCTTTATACAAATCTCCATGCTCTTTCCCATTCCTGGCTTAGCATACACAGTGAGGCTTGGCTTCACAAATGGAAGAGGGTGTGGCTATATGACTAAAGGAATCTGGATCCTTGAGCCACCCTTGCAAAGGTGCACCCATTTTGGACTTTACATGGGAGAGAAATACATTTCTATTAATGGTAAGCCCCTGAAATTTGGGGCTTATGTGTTATGGCAATTAGCATTATCCAAACTAATGCACCCACTGTTCCAAATCTGTTAAACCAGTTCCCTTATTGCTGAACATTTAGGATACTATCAGTCTTTTGCTATTACAAGCAATACTGGAATGAGCAACCTTGTACATACATTATGTTGCATGTGTGCAGGCATCTGGAGAATAAATTCCCAGAACTGGAAAGTGCTGGGTCAAAGAATATGTGCATTTGCACTGGTGGCAGCTCTTGCCAAACTGCCCGGCATGGGGCAATGTGTGCTGTCAGCAGCAAAGCAGGAGCGTATCTCCTTCCCCACAGCTTTGCCAATAGAGTGAGTAATCAACTTTCTGATCTTACTCAATAGGGGGAAAATGTACTTGGCTTTTTAAATTCTGTATTTCTCCCAAAGGCTGCCTTTTAACTAAACCAGCCTACACCGCAGCCTGCCATTCCCCAATGCCTGGCTCAGCTGGACTTCAGCTGAGGCCCTGCTTGGCTCATGGGGGTAGATAACACACCAAAAAGTTGGTAAAGCACTTAGGATTCAGGTTCTGTCCTACCTACTGGCCCTCCAGGCAGATGCTTCTCCCTGACTTCACCAAGGCCTTAAAAGATATTTTCTGAAGAGGCTTTGGGGTACACAGCACAAGCTCTGGGATTAAAAAGTCCCAATTTAAAGTTTGACTCTACCATTTGCTTAAACTGTGCAACCTTGGGTTGATACGTCCCTGTGATCCTTGGTTTCTTTCTGTGTAGAGATAATATGCTCACTACGTAAGTTTGTGTGACGAGCTTTTATCACAGCAGTGCTCATAAAGCAGTAATTGTTTTATATATACACACACACACCATTCTCATCCACACAGTGGATTATTACGTGGCTATTAAAAATTACTCCATGGAAAAATATTAACTGGCATAAGAAGACATCAATACTGTTTTGCTAAATGAAAAAAAAAAGCCCACAAAGCAGCTTGTAGTAAATTATAACATTGTTTTTAAAGACGTATACATACATTAAACATTTTAAAAGAACTGGAAGGACAAACATCAAAATGTCAAAAAAAGCTCTTTGTTTCTTTTTTCTTCATGCTTTTGTGTGATTTCTTGGTTCTCTGAAAACAGGCTGTGCTACTTTTGAAATCAGGCAGGGAAAACTGGGGGGCAAGGGAGGTAAGTGTACCTTCAGAGGCACCAAATTTCATAGCCAGGACAGTCTCTATCCTCCTGAGAGGGTTCTCCTGGGATTCCCTCGAAGGAAGTAATTAGCCTGCAATAGACGCAGGGTACCTGACAGCAGCTATGGCCTCAATAGTTCTTCCTTGGGGGAACATACCATCTCTCCCTTACTAATGTGGCCCTGTGGGCTATTAGTCCTCATGTTCAGGTTCCCCCCACCCCGAAGTAGGTGTATAATCCAGGCAGGCCAATCGGAATACCTTATTCCTCTGGCACAGTGATAGGCCAGAGGGGCATGTGACCCACTTAGGGCTTCTCCAGATCAGTGGAAGCTAACAGTCTCTTTCCTGTTAAATCAGAAGATGGGTTGAAATGCAGGTTTAGGTTGCCAGTAACCACTTTTCTTGCTTAATGGAGTCTGGTGCAAATGCAGCCCACATACCCAGAGTGAACTGAGCTAGAAGGCAGAGAGTGCTGGAGCTTTGAGGACAATGTTTGAGACCCTGAGGCCAGCTACACTGGCCCAAAGCCAGTCTGCCTTTGGTTTCCTACCTATTTGAACCAATAAATTCTCTTTTGGTTTAAGCTAGTCAGTTAGGTTTCTGTTATTTGTAACCAAAATAGTCCCAATGAATACATGGGCTCCAGATCATAACAACTGCTTCCATACCTTCAAGGTCGTCAGATCCAACCCACCAGGCAAGATGTTGAATACAGTCTGACCAGCAGAGACTTCTTGCAGGATCCTCAACACCCGTGCACACTCGCTTACCCTTTGATGCACCTACAACAGAGACACTCCAGTGGGAGCTGGAACCAAACCACCACCCAGCAAGAATCTCACTCCCCACAGAGCAAAGGCAGAAGGGAAGGAGAGTTTGCCCACCCTCATCTCAGCACGCACTGTGGGTCGCACATCCTGAAAGAGGCTCTCAGCGGAACACACAAGCACCAGCTAACAGCACAGTGGAGTCAGCCCTGCTACTTAGACTACCTACCTGTGGGGCTGCCAGGAGGACCAAATAAGACGATATACAAAGCATTTTGAAAACAAAAGGAAACAACAAGAGTGTTCGTATTATCAACTGGGTACTGGATTGTGCTTGCCCATTTATAGCGTACGTCTATTGCTTTTGTCTGCCTACCATTTTTACCTGCCTTCATTTATGTTAACATTGACTTTCGAGGATGTCCCCTGCCCCCACCAATCTAACAATATATTTCTGATGGGAACTTTGCATTTTGGTACTTCTCCCAGCTTAGAGGAGTCTCTCTCCAGGATTTTTCATATTGCAGCTTGGGGCCGGTGTGAGGTCTGGGGGACAATCCCCACACAGCCCTATTCTCTCAGATGGTGAGGTTAAACATATGCCGGATCATACTGTCAAGAGCTGTGGCTCTAACTGCATGAGGCAAGCCAGTTTTCAGATGAAACCAGCCAGTAGAGGAGACAGATGAGAAAGACAAGTCTTGGCATCTGAGTCTGGTTCCAGTGGTCTTTCCTGCCCTTCTTACGGTCTGCTTAGCATTTCTCCTTTCTGCCTAACCAGCTGAAGTGGAGTTTCTTGTAAGAGTCTTGATTAATACCCCATTTCTGTGATGTGGCAAGCTCAGAGCCACTGTAACTGAGATTTCAAGAGAGGTGGTTAGTTAAACGTCTAGGTTGAGTGTAGTATAGGGAGAGAAGGCAGGCTTATTAACTCTCACTCCCCAAGTGGCACAGCCTACCTGACAATTCCGAACATGGAATTCCTTTTCTCCTTCCTCAATTTGACGGTAGGGGATCCATTCCTCCTCCAGAGACTCATGAGTGGGCTGGGTCTCCCCTGGGGCCCGCTTGCAGAAACAGGTGGCTGCAGCTGACCCATCCCTGAAATACACATGCCACCAGAGAGTAGCCAGAAGACACCCAAGTTTATTTCTCCCCTTTACACCCTTCTTCTCAGCCCAGACATTGGATCATCCTTTGACTGGTAGGGAAAAAGAGCTGGGGGCATGCATAGGAATGTAGAAAAAAATGCGGATTTTAGAGAATGACCTGGGTTTGAACTGTGTCACTTTCAGCAAGTTATTTAACATCTTTGAACCTTGGATTCCTCACCTTGAAAATGGATAAAATACCTGCCTTGCATGGTTTTTGTGAGGCTTAGAAATAGTATACAGACAGGCGGCTAATACCCTACAGGGTCCTTGCCTGCTGCAGGCACCAGATCCATACTTCCTGCTGTCGTCCCTCACCTGTGCTCTGGCAGGGCAACCACAAAGCCGCGGGAGGCCAGCTCCATGCAGAAGGCTGAATATAGTGTCCTGGAGATTCAGGAAGGAACAGAGAGAAGAGTGCAAATGAATTGCCCATCCTTAGCCCCGACTCCAACCACGCTCTGCTAGTGGCCATCTCAAACGATTTCATCTGTAGCAGCCCTTCTGAGGGTGCTTTCTGCTGCCAGCATAGCCCTTCTCTCACCAAGGCTCCAGGAAGCATGTGCAGATCGATCCAGTGTTTTCTATGCCCATACAAACACTGACTCATCTCCTCCACTCTCCATGCCTCATACAGCTTGGCTACTTCAACAGTTGCATTTTTATTCTCTATATTACGTATCTCCCAAATGAGCTGGTAAGCCTGAGGACAGGGATTCTATGTCTTTAATATGCAAACATGCACCGAGGATTTATCACGTGGATTTTTTTGTCTCTCCTCCAACTTTCCAGAAAAAAAGGAATATGGCAGACACTGCTAATTGCCTATACCCAACACCTATTTTTCCCTTCCTCCTTAATAACAAAATCTCATTTTTAGCTGAAGACACTGTCATGCCATCAAAATATGACATTTGCCAGCGACATTTTTGTGGCTACGGTTTTCTGATTCAGTTCTAGCCCAACAGCGGAAACATAGTACTATTTTAAAAAATAATTACAATTTTTCTAGTATACTTCAAAAAGTAAATAGCAACAGGTAGAATTTAAATAATTCATTTTACTTAACCCAATATAGCCAAACCACTGTCATTTCAATACATAATAAAACTTTAAAAATTAATGAAATATTTTACTATTTTTTTAAAAATATGAAGTCTGAAATCCACTGTCTTTCATATTTATAGCATATCTCACTTTGGACCACCCATATTTCAAATGTTCAATAGCCACATGTGGCTAGAAACTGCTGCAATGGACAGAGCAGTCTAGTCAATGGGAAGTTAGCAGTTGTGTCATACAGAAGTTCCAGGAGAGGTCTCCCTCCCTATTGCCTGCAATGTGACTGTAATGGCTAGAACTAAAGCAGCCATCCAGGGTCATGGAAATCCTTAGAAATGGAAGATACACATGTCAAAGCAAGATTATAAAAGAAGTCTAATTCTCTGATAACTTTGTGGAACTACCATATCAGCTCTACCTACCTCCAGCTTTCTTTTATCTGGGCAAGAAATAAACTTTATATTGTTTATGTAACTATTGCTTGGGGTTTTTCTGTTAAATACAACTTATGTGGATCCTAATTGATTTAGAAAGGTCAGTTTCTTATGTTTCTTTTAATCTCCTACTTCTTCAGGGGAGGCAGTGAGATTTAAAAGCCAGTGAGATTTCTGATCCCTTCCCAGTTCAAACTGGGAAAAAACATTAAAAATCATCTACTTGCCTTTCTAGCCTCATCACCACATTTACTTCCTACTTCCTGCCATGGTATAGTTATGTGAGTCCATATTTGGGCTCTTCTAATGGATGCAAATTCCTTGATTGATCTCTATATGTCCCACCTTCATGTCAAGCCAAGGGACCAGCATAGAGCAGGTACTCAACAGATACTTGTTGAATGAATGAGAACCTAGCAAAACACTGATTGCCCTTGTATTCACTCAATATATATTTCTTGGGAAACTACTACCTTCCAGATACTTCCCTAGAAGCTTACAATCTAATAGGAAAGGCAGACTTTACTGAATAACTGTGCAAATAATAAAGTCATTACAATTATGTTAAGTACTGGGAAGTACAGATTATCTTATGAAAACTTACCTAATATAATACAGGGGTCAGGAGGCTGTCCCTAATAAAGTGACATCTAAACTTGAATCCAAAAGACGTTTAAGGTAATTTGGAATTATCCAGGCAAAAGATGGAGAGGGAGAAGAGGAAGAAAGAATCAGAACAGCAGATATTCTGAGCAAAGGGAATAGCCTTTGTTATTCAAGGCACAGCACAGATGAAAACTGAGGCAGAAAATAACACAGTGCCTTTACAGGAGTGAAAGAAGATCAGTTTGTCTGGAGAGCTGGAGTGACACAAGTAGCAAGAAATGAGGCTGGAAACTGTCTTGGACCTGCATCTAGGTAAGACCATGACAAGAGTGGAATTAAGTTCAAAGGGCTATTAAAAAGATTTAAGGAGGGAAGCGACATTCATTCATTCATTCAACAAATAGTTATTGAGCACCTACTATCTGCCAGGCACTGTTGTAGGTTCTAGAACGACACGACCATATTTGGCTTTAAAATAGGTCTCCCGGGCTACAGTGTGGACCATGGTTTTGGGGGGTGAGGAGGCAAAAATAGGTGCCTTTGTGATGTGTAGTACTCTAGGACATAAACTAGTCCTGTATGTTGGTGAATGGACATATAGAGAGAACATTCACAAGTTTAAATAGGAATGTATGAACTATATTATTAAGCTATATAACACACAAAGGTGTAGAAATCAGAATTCACAGGAAGAATTCTGAATGGATACTGACTAGTAAAACTCAGGCTAGAGTTTCCACATCTGGTAAAAGAGGTCTTAGAGTTCACCACGTCCCTCCACATTATGAAACAGAAAGGACTGAGTGTGTGTACACCTACCAGGTGCCGGTCTAACTGAATCCTCACAAACCACCCTGACGGAGCCATATCCCCATTTGACAAATGATGAAATCTAGGCTCAGAGAGTTCTACAACTGTCCCAAGCTTGCACCGAGCACAGGTGGTATGGCTGACATTAGCAGGTGAGGCTGCGAGCTTCATGAGCACAGGGTGCGAGTTGATGCAATTTGCAGCTGCATCAGTGCCGCCCAGAGCTGTCCCTCACTGTGTGCTGGATGAATGACTGACTATAAAGCTCAAGCACCTTCTAATATTTCTCAGCTGTTACACAGGAAGAATGTGAAAAGTGTGTATTTATATGTAAATGTTGGAATGTGAGAAGTGAGGGATGTGAAACCTGTGTAGGGTTCCACCAGGTGGAAAGGGGCTTGGGAAAGGCCTTTGAGAGAAGGTGGACCCAATGCTATGGAAGGAAGCAGATGGTAGGTAAGACAGCTGGCAGATGGAAATGTCTGTTTTTCTGCCCATTGAGGATAAGCAGCTGTCACCAGTTAAGGAATGTGACAAGGCCTGCGGGAGAGCAGCTCTTACCTGAAAGCTCCCAGGCCGTGGGAGAAGATGATCAAGGGGTATCCAGAGTCCTTTGTCTTAAAGGGGCCATTCCAGCTAACAGGCAGGCGACAAGATCCTAGCAGAGACATGGGCTATAGAATCTCTGGCTGCCCCAAAGCTGATCCCAAGGGCAGCCTGGACATAGATATGGGTGGGGACATGTATCCCTCCTCTCTGGAGAACCACCTTTTGCCACTCCGCAGCCCAGGGCAATCAATCACCTTTTCTTTCCCCTTTTCTTCCCTAGGAAGCATGAACACAGTAGAAAATGGGAAGATAAATCCAAAGGAAAGTACTAAACAACTAAGGGGTAAGCCCCTGAGGTGCCAAGGCAGTGAGTAGAGCTCCTAATGGTGAGACCTTTGGGGAAGTGGATGATTCACTGTGACCCTTCCCAGCAGAGGGACAGCTGGACGGGGAACTGCAGGAGACAGTATTCCCCTTGGCAGTTAGAATGTTTCTTTGGTCTACACAATAGCTGGCACAGAGTGGGAAATAATACAAGCTGAATAAGTGAGTAATAGCCACCATTTATGGAACACATTCTATGTCCCAAGAGCTGCACTAGAGGTTTTACATACATCCCACATTAGAGTTCTGCAAAGGCAGCTATTCAGGCAGGTTAAATAACTTGCCCAAGACCTACAGCAGCAAATGATAAAGGCTGGAATCGAATCCAGAACACTCTAACTCAATAACCAAAGCTCTTATGTATATATACAATTCTCTCCTAATTTTCCACACCACACTGGCTGGAAATTTCTACACCATACTGGCTCTTATATACACAATTATCTCCTAATTTTCCACACCACTAGAAAAGGGCTGGACAGTGTAACCAAAAGGTACTGTGTCTGCCTGGGGATCACACCTGGGGTGAGGCAAGCCCTTACCCACAGCCAGGTTGAAGAGCAATCCTCCCCAGCGCTTATTTAATTGCAGGTAATCAGCCAAGCCAGTGCAGTACTCATAGCGGGGAATCCACAAGGGCTGGTCTGTGGTCTCCTCTGCCTCTTGGCAGGGGTAGAAGAGTCGAAAGAAGCTTCCCTATAGGAAAGAAGAGAGCAACTGCTCTGAGCAAGAAGCCCAAACTCTGCTACATTTCCCAACAGACACATACAGCAGGTGTGGGGGAGCCAGCAAAGCAAGGCACCAAAACGGGAAACATGCTTCAATTCATATACCTGAATTTTGCATTCAGGAAGTCCAGAAGAAGCAATTTTAATTTTTGCACACACACAAGGCTTATGTTATTTCAAATAGTTGACTGTATTTTGAATTACATCTGGGAGACACCAAAATATTTTCGTTGAAATACTGGGACATCAAAAGAGTTCAGTCTGGCCCAGAGCCCAGGCCCAGAGGAGCCCCAGGAGTGAGATCAGCCATTAGGCTGAATGGGGTGGCCCTCGGGAAGCAGGAGTACACTCATCTTATGGGACATGAGAGGTTACCAGGAAGTTAAGTGCCTCTCAGGAGGGAAAGAGGAGTCCGAGGGCCAGCAGAGAAAGCCTAGGAACTGTGGACGGAAAGTCCAGAACCTGAAGCATGAGAGGGAAATAGACAGGCAGGAGAGGAGAAAAGGAAGACTTGTCTTCCTACCCGGGACAGGGAGTGAAAGGCCAATGGCCCACAGATCTCCTCACATACTCAGATTAGGATCAGCCATCTGATCTCAAGAGAGGGAGAGGATCTGAGAGCTGCCTTTGAAGCTAGAGCCCGTTTCCTCCTACCTTGAAAAAGTACCCATCATCTCTGTCTATTAGTTGTTTCTTCCTCTAATCCAGATCAGCTTTAACCCAGTTTCCCCCATGTGGAACTGCACCACCGGAATGGCTATGGATAAGCCACAGTGCAGGCAGAAGCAGCAGAGATGTGCAGGGGTGGAGCCGGAGACACTTACCTGGAGACTCTGACCCTCCATCACATCCCCGCAGCCTACAAGGTGGGGTCCTGTGACAGGTGGAAAGCCCACGGACTGGTTGACCCCCATTTCATCACCAGTTGAATGGAACAATGACTTGGGCAGTGCTGAACTTGATGGCTGGAGGGTGGAACATAGAACAGCCTCCTGCTGGTTTCCTCTTAACTTCCTGTTGCTCATATGTCATCTACCACCCAACCACCCCTCCTTATCTCTCCATCTACCCTGCCAGTGGCTCTTTCAATCATCTGCTTTGCTACACTGACTTTGCCAAGGTTGAGGGGCTGCTTTTGTTGTGGGGAGGTGGGGTGAGGAGACAGTTGTGAAAAGGAAAAAAGGCTTCCATACTCCTCAAAGCCCACTCAGAAATGTTCATTCAGCTCCTACAATGTGCCCAGCACAGGAGTAACTGCTGCTGAGAACATAACACAGGCTAAGAATACTAGCAATTACTGACAACCATATTCACTCTGTGTCAGCACTGAACTAAGCTCTTTACATACATTACATCACTTCATTCTCTCAACCACTCTCTGAGGAAGGAACTGTTAAGACCCTGCTTGAAAGAGGAAGAGCTAAAGCACAGAGAGAGGTGGAAAAATGCCTAAGTTACACACTTGTCGGTGCAAACCCAGGTCTGTCTAATCCAGACGAGATCCCTTAACCCTTACCGATCCTGCTCATGGAGACACTTGGTTGTATATTTACAAAACCAGTAGCCTAAACTATTGATTATAGAGGCGGCACTTATGTTAGGCCCTGAAGTATGAGGACAATTTAGAGGCAGAGGAAAAGAAAAGCATTTTTAGAGAGAACATAATATAAGAGTAAGAAAGGGCAGAGGTGGGGAAGAGTGTTATGGGCAATAGATCACACAGGAGGCTTCAACATGCCAGGTGCGCATGCTTCTGACTAGAAAACATTCCGCTAGCTTGGCTGCGTCCTAAACGGGGGCTAATGCCATTACTCTCCCTCTTCAATCTCGTCAGCATCAGCACCATCATTACACTTACTCTGTGCATTACATACAGTATTTCATTGAATCCTTACAACAATTCTCTAAGGTATGTACTGTTATCTTATCTTACAAATGAGGAAACTGGGACTTGATAAAGTCAGGTAATCTACCCAAGAACATACAGCTAGCAGAACCAGAATTTAATCATAGGCAAAGGGCTGTAAGAGCAGGAAACGTGGTCAAACTTCCCAATATCCATTCTGTCTTGTCCTCCTACCAGTAGCCTTATGATTTGGGTGGGACTAACCCCTTCTTAATTCTAGAGTTACGCCATAATTGGCCAAAGCCAATCAGCCCTTGGTATCCCCTGGTCAGTTTTGGATGAAGAGCACATGATATAAGTTGGTCCAATCACAATAAAGTCCAGGACTTTGGTTTGATGGTGAAGGGTAGGAAAGTTCTTTCCTGTTTTGAATTAGAGTCATGTGCAGATATGAAGCCTTGAACTGCTGCAGTCATTTTGCTACCTTGAAGATGAAGCTACCCATGGGGGATGGCAGAGCTGAAGGAAAGAATCACAGAGAAATAGAGTCATACCTGTGGAGACACTAAGAATCTCTGGATTAGACTATGCCTGACACCTCACCCACTCCTAGACTTTCCAGTTACATGAGTCAGTAAATCCCCTTTTTGGTTTAAGCTAACTGAATGTAGATTTCTATTGCTTGAACCAAAAGCATCTACATGGATACACTGAGTCCTGGATCCACATTTTTAATCATTCCATTATTCTGCTTTGTTTACGATGCTCTGGGTTGGATCAGAGAGTTCAAGTCAAAGCATGTTTGGGCATGCTTAGAGATCATTTCCACGAATCATCTCCCTCAAAACCTCCAGTATATATACATGCACTTTACTGAAGGAGAAATCAAAGTCCTCAGAAGTTAAGAAGACTTAACCTAGCGTTCAAGGTCACAGACAGAATTATTATTATACATAGACCTCAGACAACAAAAAAATCCTAACATTATTCTATTTAACTTTGGAAGATAATAAATGACTTTCTTTCTCCTGTAGATGCCTTCATTTTGTTTCTCTGAAGCAATTTAAAAAATAAACCCAATTCTTTTTAAAAAGAAGCAGTCAGAGGACTGTTTAGCCAGAGTGAAGCTGAGCGTGTACTGCTTGGTCTCAGACCCTGACCTTTCCCCCTTGTTGTTGAGGGCAAATACATGGAAGATCTGCAGCAGGGGTACAAGACATGCCACCCACATGGTAGTGAAGCAGCTTCAAGTTCTGACTGCCATGAAAGAGGGTCAGAGAAAATACTGCAGGGATTCTGAGAAGAAAGCAAACTTCTTTAGCTTGGGGGTGGAGGGCAGTAGAAGGTCAGAAAAGCTGATTTTCAAGTAGAAGAAAGTGTGTGAGCAAGGCACAGGGGTAAGAAAGCATATGTGAGAAACAGCAGTTAGTGATGGATTCAAAGTGAGACAAGGACGCTGTGATAAGACTGAGTGTCCCTCAGGTACTAGGCTAAGGAGTTGGGATCCACTCAGGAAATGAGGTTGGGGATATGAGATACTAAGTCTGAAAGACCTAAGTTTGAGCCCCAGCTCCTCTACTGCCTAGCTTTCTGACCTTGGGCAAATTATCCGCTCTCTCTACACCTGATTCTTCCATCTGCACAATGGGAAAACTATTCATCCTCATAGGGCTGCTAAGGAGATAAAATGAAATAGTGCATTTAAAGCACCTACTATAGTACCTGGCTCTTAGGAAGCATCCAGGCAATATTTGTGAGTTGAGTGAAAAGCAGGAACACTAGGATTTGGCAACTGAGTGGATTTGGGGAGTCAAGGGAGAAAGAAGAGCTAAAGATGAGTAAGGTTTCAGGGTTTCAGGACTGAGTGACCAGAATGATCCTAGCTTCTTCTGGGAAGAGACTTTGGTCTTACCCCATAGAGAGAACAGTGCTTGAGATAGGAACCCAGATGAGTGGACTTGAAAACAGCTAAACAGAAGAGGAGCAGAACTCTCTGGTAATCCTGGCAAAGTATCTGGAAAGGTCATCAACTAAATTAAGTTTGGAAATAAATACAAACTAAAGCTAATTGGCCTGAGTGAGACTAATACAAAAATGAAACCGCATTCCCTGGGCTCTCATTGATTGATGCCTAAGTAGAATGGGGAAACGGGAACATCCAACCTGACTTGCAAATTTTGCCTAAGAGACATCCTCACAGAGCATCCAGGGTCATCTCTAATAAATGTCATGTAATTTTCCAAGGAAATCAGTGCAGGTGTTTCTACCTTCTTTTGTTCACCTTATCTAAACAATTTTCATGGTGGTGCTTATCCAGAAGCTTCTCCACCCATGCAAGCCTGCCCTATCCATCAGGCCCAGTGAAATCTCTGGTCCTCTGCGAAGCTTTCCCAAGTCCTTCCAACCTTCCCTTCTCTCAGTTCCGAGCACTGTCCACATCCCTCACTTGGTAACCAATCATGAGCTACCTTAGGTCAGCTCTTGGATTAGTACCTATTCCAGCAGTTTTCACCGACTTGCCTACAAGTGGTCCAAGTAGAATCTAGTTCAGAAATTCCTGAGCCTATCTATCATCACAAAAACCTGGGAACTTACAAAGATACAGATTTTAGGGCCCCCATTCCCAGGGATCAGTTTTTAAAAGCTTCCTCAGTGTTTCTCATTAGCAAAATTTGAGAACCTCTGGCCCAGATGATACCCAGGACTTGTTTATATTCAGACATGCATGCAGACAACAATTTACTGAGTAAATATGGTGTTCCAGTTCACCATTTTATATTTATGAAATGATAATGATTATGATTTCACTTGATTTAATCCCCATGGCCACCCAGAAGCATGTTCTGCCAGTCACAAGGCATAATATAGTACCCTGCATATAACTGATCTCAATAATTAATTTACCCAATAAATGCCATTTAATTTTTCACACATATGCCTGATTTCTTCAGATTTACAACAGAGGTAAAGACTTGAGTTTCATACTTCTTTTAGGCTAACCCATTTATTCTCATGCTTTCCCCATATAGTAGGGACCCTCCTTTATTTGGCTTTGATTTAAAACCTCTCAATTCTTTAATCTTTTTTATCTAAAAATAAGGCTATATAGTATAGTGTGAAAAGAAAGGCTTTAGTGACAGTCTGAATTCCATCTCTGCCACTCAACTGGCTGTGATCTTGAGCACATTCCTTAAATTCTAAGCCTCTGACAATTTATCCACATGAAATAATTAAAATCACTCATGAAGTTGTTAATGCAGATAAATGAAATCATGTATGTAAAGTACCTGACATATACAAGGCACTATAACTACAGATGGTACCTCTAGCTATAATTGGTATTACAACTGACTACAGGATCTCTCCAAGCCTAAGTTTCTTGTAACAGGAACACTTCTTAAGTGAAATTTAAATAAGAAAACTGACATTGCCTAGGGCCGGGTACATTTTAAGTGCTAATAAAATGTTAAAATTAGCTAACAGTGCTGTAGATCTCTTCCATCATATCAATTTTGTTTATAAAAATTGGTAAAAAAAAATCTCTTCCATCTCTCTCATTTTTTTCTGGATTACACCCCTTGGCAAAATAGATTCTCTCCTCCCAGCCTTTTCAGATCTGAGACACGCCTACCAAAACCATGTCTACTGAACTGCCCATAAGAGCCCGAAAGGAATGTACAGGGCTTACACTGCAGCTGTCCGTCTCTTGCTGGGGCCCTGTTTCCAAAGAGCAGGGACCGGCTTCTGTCAGCTGTGTGGACTTTTCATCACTGGCTATTTCAGGACAGAGTCCAAGATAAGCACTTATCTGAGGCTTTCTTTCAGACAAAGCTCTCTGGAAACTTAAAGCTCATTAGTCTGACCTCTAGTCTCTGGAGGAAGTGAGAAAATACCATCCTGATCTTAGAGAATGGAGACACCAAACGCTCAAGGGACAGGCTTGAGCAACAAGGTGGCAGAACTAAAAAAGGAGCCAAGGTAAGCGTGTCCCAAAGTATTAATAATTATAATAAAAAAAATCTCTCTTGCTTGTGGAGGTTTTAGTTTAAAAAGCACTTTCACACTCATTAGCTTATTGGCGCCACAACACAGCCTCACCCTCAGACGGACAGAACAATTGTCATTTCCATTTTGTAGGTGAAGAGAGTGAGTCCCAGAGAGATTTGTAGGATTGCCCACACAGTGAGCGAGGGGCAGAGCTAGATTAGAACTCGAGTCGGCTTACTCCAAGGGCAGGGCTCCTCCTTGGACTGGGGAGAAATGGCGACCCATCTTCCACTTGAAAAACAGAAAAGTAGGGTAAGAATGAAGGTGTGGAGCACAAACATGCCCAGCTCTCAGAGGCGACCCTGTGGGTTCAGGGAGGGGCTGTGGGGGCTCGGTCCTAAGACGAACGCTCAGGGAGGGGTGCCGCGGACACCAGGAGTGCAGGCGCAAGATGACAGCGGGAGAGGTAGGGGTGGGCTAGTTATTGGAGATGTCTGAACAGTAAACAGAAAGGACGAAAGATTAATGTGAAGTTTCCGGAATTGAGATGCGGAGCCCCCCAACCGGGCAGGAATATGAAAAATCTGCAGACACCTCTGTTCAGAATAGGAGCTTTCTTGAATCAAACTTACCCAAGCTGACCTCTCAGAAGCAACCTAGACGGTCAATTCGACGGAAACGAGAAACTACCCTGGAGCCCGTGGCCCTTTGGTAGTTATAGTTTCCAGAACTCTATATTGGTGCTTAAAAGCACTTCCCGCCTCTCTATCCGGAACTATAACTCCCGAGGTGCACTGCGCCAGACTGCGCTTTAAAATTCTAGGACTACAATTCCCAGAGTTCCACGCGGCTCCTCGTCGTGAGGTGAGACCGGGACGTGGTGCGCTTCCTCCCCCTGGTGGTCTGAGGCGCCATCGCCAGGATAAGGCTCGAGCGGAGGGTTACTGCTTATAGTCCCTGTTAGTAACCCTCCGCCTTCCCGGTGTCCAACTAATGCCCAGGCGTGCCTGAAAGCAGCAGTGGCTTCTTTTTATTCTTGGGTCCGGGGTGGGGGTGTCCGGTGCTTGTTTTGTGTTCCCCCACTTCGCTTCCAGTGAGAGTATGAGTTCTTACTAACCTGCATCTACTGACATGTGATTTTCCTTTGTCATTCTCCGAGAACTCCCGACGGAGAATCCGCGGGAGCCTGAGAGGTCACTGGTCCTCCCCTTCCCCAGCAACAGCCGCCCCAGCTACCCTTATTTTGTTGGCACTAGCTGATTCTTAAGGATGCACTGGTGAACAAGATACTGTCCTTAATCTCAAATGAATTCACAATCTAGCGGAGGATTCCGCCAAATAAATAATTACAGCACAGTGATATGTGCCATAATGGGGGAAGTGCAGGGGGTTGTGGGAGCATCTGTCCAGGCCTGGGGGCGGGGTGGGGGCGGGGGCAGGTGGGGAATGGGACGGTCTTCTTAGAAGCCTTAGGTGTTAACGCTGAGATTTAAAACCGAGATCTCTACATTTGAGAACGCAAGGAACAGGACTTAGCCAGGAGTGTAGGGAGTGTTCTACGGTCTGGCCGGAGCAGAGCGTGAGGGATGAAATGGGTACAGGGATACCTGAGGAAATAGGCAGGGCCACATCCTCAAGAATCTTGCAAACTTCCATAAGAAACTTGGCTCATTCAGGCAGCTCAAAACCTTCAACCACTTCCTACTACCTGCAGGATGAGGTCCCGACTTCTTAGTATTAGCGTCCCCCCCAACCGGGCCTCCCACTTACTTCCCCAGAAGTTCTTCTCATGCTGTTCTCTGACTGGAATCTCCTCTCTTTTGTCCCCTTCTCCCCCCATTATCTCCTCCCCGTCCTCAAGATGTGTCAGGTTCTCACTGTCACCTCCACACTTTGACTAACCTGCTTGGTGACCTGTCTAATCCTGTTCTTCCTTTAAAATTCCTCTAGGTATATATTGCACATAATATTGTGTATCAAATATATATATATAGTTATAAAATATAAAATGTTTAAAATGTTATTTATATAAAAACATATGAAATTATATATATTTTTTAAGTTCCTCCAAGTCCTCCCTCCCATGAAGCTTCCCTGAACCCTCTGGTCACCTGGGATATTTATGTGCACCTCTCATTTGGGGGCTTACCTCACACCCCCTAGTGCCACCTCCTGGGTAGGAGGTCTTAACTCTTCAGTGAACTGTGAACTGCCTGAGGTCAGGCACTGAGTCCTACAGCTGATCCATCCGCCCCACGGACCTTCAACTCACCAGAGTCCAGAGTCTGTGCTTTAGGCTTCTTTAGGCTTGCCGCTCCCTCTGACATGGTGTCACCACTACCATTCTTTTAGGAGCCAAGAGAAAGTCATGAGGAGGCAGTGATGGCAACACTGCACTATGGTAATTAAGTCCCGGATTTAATTATAGCTGTGGTTGGTGGTGGTGACAACAGAGCATTATGAAAAGCTTAGTGCAGATCAGAGAGTGGCTCTTTCTGGCTGAGTAACTGGTGCTCTGCAGCTGGGACTAACCAGAGGCCCTGCTCATGAGAGGGGCAACTAGAGGTTGTTTCTCCGTCTCCTACTTCCAGATCAGGCCAGGTCAGGGACATCTGTAGGCCAACCGAGTTCTAACTTCCCAGGGACAGGGACATCACATCCTCCTTTACCTTCTTTGTCACTCTGAGAAGATCTGCCTTGTGCTCAAACTCCTGTTGCAAAATAAAATACTTGCGTTCAGTTGCATGACTTTGCAGTATAGTCTTTTCTGGCATAAACAGCTCAAATGCTTCACATTTTCATCAGCCAGTTGACTTTCCAGGCTTTCATTGCAGATCTCAGCCTCCAGCAGCCCAGGTTCCCTGGCCTTTGCCCTGTTGCTAAGTTCCTTTAAGCTGGTTTACGAGTACCCAGCTTTGGATTTTCTCTTCTCCCTGATACCTGCTGAAGTTGGTGGACAACACTTTTCAAATCAAACTATAACATATACATAATGAAGTGTGCTAAGTACACTAATATTAAGTGTATAACCTAATTTTTTAAAACATTTGATGTAACCATCACCTAGTTTGAAATGCAGAACACTTCCAGTATCCTGAAAAGGTTGCCCCCTGCCCCTTCTCTGTTTATAACCACTCATGCCCCAGAGGGAACCACTATTTTAATTTCTGTCATCCTCAACCAGTTTTGGGGGAAGCAACATTTTATAACTTTTGACAGTGATATTTTATGCTCAGTGACCCATCAGTGGGTGATACCTGTGTTAATGCCATTCCAAACACCACCAGAAATGCACTTGTAATTGAGTACGTTGGACACCTGCTGCTGTGAGGGAGGATGCACACAAGAGGGAGCTGCGGGGGCATTTCAGAAAGAGGGTGTCAGAAAATATTTACTGCAGGATTTGGGCCTTGGAGATCTCAGGGAGGGTTTGAGGAAGCAGGGCTTTGCTCTGGATTGGATGCTGTCAGGAAGTGGGGGTATTTCTAGGACTGGGGAAACTTAATATTTTCTAGAAGGGGTAAGAGTTGACTTGACTGAGGTGAAGTCTGTCATTAGGAAGAAGCAATAGCCTCTGGTGTTAGCCAAGGAAGGGGGATGGTGGTCCTTTTTGTAGTTTGGACAATATCCACATTTTGTCTGTGTGCAGGCATGATCACAGAGTGGTCCTATCTGTATCTTGATCCACTGCAGTGACAGAGTGGCCTTGTCTGATGTTGATGTCCTGTGAAATTCTTTATATTCAGCTAGGGAACCCCAAAGCTCAGCTGTGAGTGCCCGGTCAGCTCCTGGAAGTTAGGGGCTGCTTTCCTCTTTTTTATATATACCAGTATGTATTGATGACTCCTCCAGGATGGGTGTTAGGTATCTAGAAATTACTTGTCTTTGTGTCCTTGGGGACCTCATAGTTGGTGGCAAAAGTGGACAAGAAAATAAATATGTACCATTGTAAAGAGCTATAGTTAAGGATCTGGGCTCTGGAGACAGGAGGTGGGGAATGGGACGGTCTTCTTAGAAGCCTTAGGTGTTAACGCTGAGATTTAAAACCGAGATCTCTACATTTGAGAACGCAAGGAACAGGACTTAGCCAGGAGTGTAGGGAGTGTTCTACGGTCTGGCCGGAGCAGAGCGTGAGGGATGAAATGGGTACAGGGATACCTGAGGAAATAGGCAGGGCCACATCCTCAAGAATCTTGCAAACTTCCATAAGAAACTTGGCTCATTCAGGCAGCTCAAAACCTTCAACCACTTCCTACTACCTGCAGGATGAGGTCCCGACTTCTTAGTATTAGCGTCCCCCCCAACCGGGCCTCCCACTTACTTCCCCAGAAGTTCTTCTCATGCTGTTCTCTGACTGGAATCTCCTCTCTTTTGTCCCCTTCTCCCCCCATTATCTCCTCCCCGTCCTCAAGATGTGTCAGGTTCTCACTGTCACCTCCACACTTTGACTAACCTGCTTGGTGACCTGTCTAATCCTGTTCTTCCTTTAAAATTCCTCTAGGTATATATTGCACATAATATTGTGTATCAAATATATATATATAGTTATAAAATATAAAATGTTTAAAATGTTATTTATATAAAAACATATGAAATTATATATATTTTTTAAGTTCCTCCAAGTCCTCCCTCCCATGAAGCTTCCCTGAACCCTCTGGTCACCTGGGATATTTATGTGCACCTCTCATTTGGGGGCTTACCTCACACCCGCTAGTGCCACCTCCTGGGTAGGAGGTCTTAACTCTTCAGTGAACTGTGAACTGCCTGAGGTCAGGCACTGAGTCCTACAGCTGATCCATCCGCCCCACAGACCTTCAACTCACCAGAGTCCAGAGTCTGTGCTTTAGGCTTCTTTAGGCTTGCCGCTCCCTCTGACATGGTGTCACCACTACCATTCTTTTAGGAGCAAAGAGAAAGTCACGAGGAGGCAGTGATGGCAACACTGCACTATGGTAATTAAGTCCCGGATTTAATTATAGCTGTGGTTGGTGGTGGTGACAACAGAGCATTATGAAAAGCTTAGTGCAGATCAGAGAGTGGCTCTTTTTGGCTGATTAATTGGTGCTCCACAGCTGGGACTAACCAGAGGCCCTGCTCATGAGAGGGGCAGCTAGAGGTTCTTACTCTGTCTCCTACTCCCAGACCAGGCCAGGTCAGGGACATCTGTGCGCCAACTGAGTTCTGACTTCCCAGGGACAGGGACATCACATCC